GGCCGGAGCGCTCGCGTCCTTCGTTGCTCCCTCGTTTGCGCACCAGCCCCGACATCACCGGGCCGGGCCGGGCCGGAGACGTGGCAGAGGGGGCTGTCGGGGTCGCTGCCCTCAGTGCTGCAGCAGCGCTCGCTCCGGAGCGGGCACCTGGCTTGGAGCAAGGAGTTTTTCCCGCTATCCCGAAGCATCGCCATTTGTGGGAAACTGCATTTGCGAAAGCCGTACTTGTGCCCAGGCCGGGCTCACGTCTCGGTCTCCGCCTCCGAGGCTGCACCAGCTTTTCGAGAGGGGAACTGAAGCTGCCTGTTAAGGCTCTAGTTCAAGACTCCACTTTCCAACAAAAGCCAACTTAAAGAGAGACCGTGTGCCGGAAACCCACACCTGCCTGCGCTCAACTGACGCTACTTCTGGTGCCTTTGGTTATTTCGGATCCCTGAAGGCAGGGACGCGGCACAGGGACGCACGCTGGAGGCTGACGGCTCGCACGGGGAATTTTCCTCTCTCACACAGTGTGTTAATGCTTTGGGATCTCCCAGCCTTGTCTCCTCGTGCTAAAGGGAGCTCCAGGTCAGCCTGTCCCCGGCTGCCACCCCCACCTATGAAGCTACGGTCAGGCCTGTTCGGTGCACGCACGCAGCCCGCGATCCCTGCTAGGCTCAGCTTGAACACGGATCAAGGAGATTAATCAGGGTTGACTAAATATATCCCCGGTGCAGGCGGCTCCTTCCTCCCCACCCACTGCACAATCGGATCCCCGCTCAGCGCAGGTTCTCGTTACACAGTGCCGGCGATAATTATAGCAGGCAGGCATCCACAAAGCCTCCTTCAGGAAGGATTTGAAAGCAGAGAGCTTCAGCGGCGGCTGGCAGCCTCGCACCCTGCCCCGCTCTCCCAGAGCCACCTCGCAGCTTCATTAATTACAGGCGGCTGGAACTGCGCGTGCGTGCTCCCAGCTCCAATCTCCATTACGGTTTAGAGATTTTAATCACCCTGGCTCGCAAGCAACAGACATGCCTCCCGAGAGAGGCTTTTCTCCAATCCCTGCCCCAAAGCGTGGCCACCCCCTGCCACAGGTCCCAGGGGTGGAGCAAACAGATCTCCGCAGCCGGGAGGGTTAAATCCTGCTCGTATCACGCTCGGAGGCAGCCTGACGTTCCCAGGGAGCAAACAGGACCGCTTCGCGGGCAGGGAGAGCTGTCACTCTTTAAGCTGCTTTTCAGGCCCAAAGTTTCCTCAAGGTCCTGCGGTTGCAGCTAAGGAAAACTTGCCAGGCTGTTTCCCAGCCTGAGCAGCATTTGCAGAGCAACAACAGCTCCTTCCCGCGGAGCGCTGCCCCCCACGCGGCTCCGGGATCCCCCAAGACACCGCACGCAAAGCTCAGCTCCTGCTCTCTGCTGAGCGCAGGGGTGGCAGGCAGCAGGCTCTCTTGCAGCCGCCTCGAGCAGGTTTCCCTCGAGCCCGAGCTGCAGCAGAGCCCCGGCACGACAGCTACGTGCAGAGGCTTCCCAGCCGGGCTGCCCACAAGGCTCATCAGCGCACGCAGGGTGCGTTTACGCGCTCAGGAGCCCCAGTGCAACGGCAGCAGAGCCTCCCGCTGCACGGCGCTGTGCTGCAGAGCGCGACCAGGAAGAAGCACTTATGCAGGTGCTTTGCTTCGCAGGAGCTTTGCGCGGAGGAGACGAAACCCCAGCCCCGTGTCTCCCGGAGGGGGAACATGCTCGGCCCTTCCTCCTGCCCTGCCCGCATCGGGACGAGGCTCTCGGCCCCGCGCTCCGGCACTCGGAGGCTACAGCTTCGGGGGGCAGCCTAGCACGCGCTCGCCCGCAGCTCGCATCCAGCCAGGCAGCTCGGAGAAAGCCCTCCGGCTCCTCGTACTCACATTTTGTTGATGATCTTGATGAAAACGCTGCAGTCCTGGAGCTGTGACAGATCATCAAGGGGATCCGTACAAACGTCTGTACTGTTCACCTAGAACCGGGACGGGACAGTCAGAAACCAGGGACCCAACAGCAAGCTGCACCGCACATCCCAGCGTCTCCCTCTTCTGACGGGAGGAAACCGAGACTTTGGTCTTGGCTTGAGAGCAAAGGCAGCCAACTCGGACCTGCTTCTCAGAGGCCAGGACTGAACATCTAGAAGGCAAAGGCTGAATGCAATTCCTGTATCCGATCGCTGTGCGCTCCACAGCGAGACAGGCTGGCACAGACATAACTCGGACCCCATTTATTACGTGGCAATGCTTTTCTTGGATGCAGCCCTGTTTCTACGAGTCAGAGCCCACGGCCCATCTACGGCCCAGCCTTTTAGCCTCCTCAAACTGCTTCGCCCTCCAGACTTTGCAGCGGTTCCCGGGGGAGCTCCAGGGCAGCCCCAGCGTTTCCGGTTGCTCAGTGGGAGCTGTGAGCAAGTCATCTCGCACAGACCCACCTGCCACGGGGCCCCAGCACAACGCTTTCGAGGAAGTCCCCACCCCAGCGATCGGGGCCGTTCCCCCAGGAAACGGCCATCGCCCACAGCAGCACCAGCAGCAGCTGTAAATCCACCCAGGCAACAGGTCCCACCTGAAGAGCAAGCTACAAAGAGAGAAGGACGCTTTACCCAAGTGAGGAGAGCCGCGGCTCTCGTGGCGTGAAGAGGCATCTTTGCGAGGCTGCCAGATTACTGTCTGAACCTGGAAATGCCAAAAAACAACAACAAAAAATTAAAGAGCAAGCATAGGAACTACGTTAACACGCAGCCGGCACGAGCGACCAGGCATCAACGTCCACCAAAGGAAGAACTAGCTAGCCCTGCACGCCCAAGAGCGCCGTCCGTCCGACGGGCTGTGCGTTTTACCGAGGTGAGCAGCCGGCATCCTAGTT